GCTCTTGATCCTGCTCACTGCTTTTTAGACAATTGCAATTACTGTAATGTTGTACTGGTTAGTGTGTGTATGTAGAACCAGCCTATCTCAGCTATTAGAATATACACAAAATCCTAATGGGGACTGATGAGATTACAGAGGAAGAACGGATGTCATGCAACGGCATTTTGGGTCATTTTTGTGCATGTGTATGTCACAAATGATGAGATTGATGAAGCAGATGATGCATCAGTGCATCAGACTGTGAATGTTTTCAAGAACAAAATGCCTAGAACAATGTGACCATATCCAAACTGTTGATGTTTTATAATGTCTTGGGTCACAGGCTGTTTACATATGAAATGGTGTTCTCTATATGGTAGCTACCAATCACAATATGTGATGCCAGACTGTTAGCACTTATAATTCAATGGAATGCTCTGGGTTCTATACAATACACTCTTTACAGAAGAATGTTGATTATGACATTTTATTTCCTCAGTTTTTAAAGCCAAGCAAATTGTGTTTGCATAATGCAGTTACAATGGAAGTCGATGTGGAGAAGCATTGCACCTGAATAAACATTAAAATACACACACATTATTGCTAATTAATTATTACAGACTTAAATATACTAAATATTCTTGTGTTCACTAGTGTAATAGAATAATAAACTATAACATAACATTCACAATATTTCTCATGTATAATATTTAGATCTACAACCAGGGTCCAGGGTTTATATTGGGCCGGGGCCGTCCGGGGCTGAGCCCCACTCCGGACTCGACCTTAACCCTTCATTAACGCCAGACAAGTAACATGATTAAAAAAAACATCAGTAACCAACAATAACTATGTAAACACCAAAACGCAAGTATTATTCTGATTTTATTACATTAGAGTAAGTGGCGAATAGTGGATAATAGCTACTGTGTGTATATATATATATATATATACACACTCTTTACAGAAGAGTGTAGCTACTGTATATACACGGTAGCTATATCCACTATTCGCCACTTACTCTAATGTAATAAAATCTGAATATATTCTGATCAGAATATATATATATATATATATGCATTATATATAAAGCATCTATTGACAGTATAAGGCTCCCGCAGCCTCTCAGCAGAAATCAAAACGCGTAACACTAAGAAACTCAGCATCCTGACGTAAAAATTCAAGTTTTTGGAAAGTTTTTATATTTAAAATACAGTTGGTTAGGCAACATCACACAACGTTTTCACCATTAAGACTGTTTAATAGTTCTATAAACAGTTCAATAAGCAAATACAATAATATTAGGTCACTTTCATTTTACGCAGAAACAGCGCATCCCACAGCAAACAGCCGATTCGTTGCTGATTGATTCCGTGTTTTGAACGAATCGAAGCATCTATTGACAGTATAAGGCTCCCGCAGCCTCTCAGGAGAAATCAAAACGCGTAACACTAAGAAACTCAGCATCCTGACGTAAAAATTCAAACGTTTTTGGAAAGTTTTTATATTTAAAATACAGTTGGTTAGGCAACATCACACAACGTTTTCACCATTACGACTGTTTAAT